TCTGATCACAAATGCAGACAGAGTTTTATGTTTACGCGGCATGATGCAATGCAACGCAACGCGTAAAAAGACAGTATAAGTCATTATAATCAGTAATTATGTCCCCCACTGGATGCAACGAATGCCTCGTTTGTAATGGGTTTTAATGTTTTTGTCTCGTCGCTCCGGCCAGGACACGGCATCAACAGTATGTGAGGGGCGTAACATTTCCGTCACACGCTTGAGGTATTCGGCCAATCACAACGCACTGGATAGCTGGCCAATCACAGCACACCTCGCTTTTTCAGAACGATGAGCTTTGTAAAAATCGATGTGTTTCAAAAAGGAGGGGCATAGAAGAGAAACAATAATGTACAGTATGTAGAAAATAATGTGTTTTTTTAACTTTAACCTGCGTAAACATTGCATTACACCAAATACACCAAATAATGTTCTTTTTAGCAGCATCATATGACCCCTTTAAGGAAAAATGACTGGAAAAGTGTAAAATTCAAAAACGTGTTCTGACCATAAAGAGTAGTTTAAAACCACAATTAACTTTCACTGAGGAGCAAAAATCTGCCTTTAAACATGAACGAAATTAAGATGTGAAATTAATCGTGATAATTATCGTTATCGACTGATATGAAAAACTTTATCGTGATAATTTTTTGTCCATATCACACGACATTACTAGGTCCACCTCACCTGCAGTAACTTATGTTCCAGTGTGGCTAACTCTAAATAATGTGCCTCTTCACGTGACACGCGGTCCAAACGGTCCCTCACTTCCTTCAGCCGAACTTGGAGAGCCTCCAGGCTGGTGTGAGCTTCTCTGACGATTCCTCTGGCGACCATGAAGGCCTTTTCGGCCTAACAGCAAAACACAATTCAGATTATACTCACATTTAAATGAATCCAAGAGTAAGTATGTTTACATGCACTCATGTTTGTCAATCGGAATGAATTGAAAAGGAACTTTGAATCCGATTGAGAAGCAGGGGCGGGTCTACATGGTGGCCCCCATTGAAATATGGTTGGCCACCCCAAGTGTCAACACCACCTCATCTAATCCGATCGATTCCAATTACTAATGGATTATTTGGATGCATGTAAACGTGTCTACTGAAAGGTGCGTCTTTTCTGGGTCATATGTCATACATTACCTCTTATGCAGGAGGTAAAAAGAAACCTCTCAAGGCTCCCAAAAAGCAGTCGAAGGATATGGACGATGTAAGTTCACTTGTACATCAAGGTTTCTGCTGAAATAAACGCTGAGAATACAGATAAGCTGCTTGGAGTGAAGTAATGATTAGGGAAATTCAGAAATAATGCTTTGTGCATTTTCATTACCCGTTCCTACAGGAGGACATGGCTTTCAAACAGAAACAGAAAGATGAGCAGAAAGCAATGGAACAGTTGAAAGCCAAGGCTACTGGAAAAGGACCTTTAAGTAAGAGACATAAAGCCACCAGACAATCTTTCTATATAGTTAGTGTTTTTTTCACACAACAAGCAATCCTGTTTTGTTCTCTTTCCGCAGCTGGAGGCGGAATCAAGAAGTCTGGGAAGAAATGAATGTTTGAGTGTATATTTGCTTGCTGTTTAAACCACCAACTCGTGTTTTGGGTCCACGGTGGCGACGTAAAATTATTTTTTTTTAGTTTACATTTCTTATATTTTGTAGAGGAATAAAATTTGTAGTGACTGTAAATTTCAATTTCGGATGTTTAATGTCTTTGTGAAACATTCATATGACAGTCAAAGCGCATGAAAAATAACTGTACAATATCCAAACATTTCAAGTCTCGTGTAAACAATCACAGAAGTGTTACGCTTATCTCCGTCTGATCTCCACACTTTTCTTGTCCATGAAATGTTCCATCTCGCAATATCATCTTTGTTCAACCTAAACAAAAAAAACTTGACGTTATTGTTTCTTTTTGTTATATAGTATTCGTCATTGAGTTGCTCTTCATGTGTCGTACATTGACGTTTAAGCTGCTTACGTTTTTTTCTTCAGTTCCACTTCTACTTCTTCAGCGCTTGTGAAGACATTAAATCTGTGTTTAAGAAGAATACTCGACCTGTCCCCCCCAAAAAAAAAAAATTCTGTAAGCTACAGTTCAGTAATAACGTTTTGGTAAGTGTGATTAAATATCAGTTCAAATGTAAAATGATTATTGTTTACATCCTCCTCTTTCAGTTTGTAGGCCTTCTGGAAGTTGAACGGTTTTGCAGAATCCGGAACAACAGCTTTCAGCATATCGTCTCCATATACCACAATCATGTGCATGAACATGTCACATTAATGAGAGTGACTCAAAATCATATTTGTTTTTTTTTACACTGATTAATTACTGGCCATAAGTGTTGTTGTTTCTGGTGCTGGCTGTGGTGTCCACGTCATCCGTGATCAGCCAGTGGAAGTTCTCGTCACTCCTGATGTGGATTGTTTTCATTTCATTATCAGACACGTAACTGCCGTCTGCATTGAAGTCCCCCAAAATCATGATGTTCTGTATGGATAAGCACATTTTTGTTTTATAAAAAAACTTTTTAATTATATATATTCTTATATTACAAACTTGGTTAGGTTGTTTGTAAATGCAATAATACGTGGCATGTCATTACACCGTGTTCACCCAAAAATTTAAATTTGTTTAAAATGTATTTACACTCGGGCCATCCAA